TTAAATCTGTTCTTCACTTCCACTGTGTATTCATAAGAGATTTGGTTTAGATTATACCTGACTAGCCCCGTGGTTTTTCCTACATTCTTCACTTTAAGTTTGAAATATTTAAGCTTGATATAATATTTTAAAAAATGTTCCAAGGTCTGACCATGACTTTTATTGATCAAAAGCCACTGGTTTTGCTCCACTCGCTTACTCTTTCTATCAGCAAAAAATTGGGGGTGGGGACTCTTCTCATTTAATTCTTTCCCAGAACTTGTTCCAGAAGTCTGGGAAATCCCTGTTCTTGTGCACCGTGGAGGGCTACAAGGGGCAGGTGAGGAATTCTGCCAATCCAAAATTAAATGTTCGTTACTGACTGCTTAAGAAAGTTTATGAAGATTATCACCAACTGCATTAAAATATCATAAAAGCAGAATAGAGATTGACTTGTAATTTTTTGAAAACTTATTCTACCATTTTATACAGCAAGTTACATTAATTATAAATCAAAATATACACAGGAAAGCAACACTAGAACATAAACTGTCATAATCAAACTGAATTTGGCATGACAAACCAAAACATTCATGACGATTAAGAACAACAATTCATAAAGCAGCAGGAAAAATGTTTTCAAGGGTAACAGTAGATCTGAGAGGCTCTAAGAATACAAAAATTGATCTCAGCATAGCTTAGTCTTTTGACAATAACAGTCCATTTTCAACAGCAGACAACTTGCAAGTAGAGTTTTAGCACATTTTTCTTTTATGCAAGTCTATAAAATATCTTTCAGAACACCAGTGGTTTAGGTGTCTGACTGTGGAACCAAAGGTTGGGAGTTCAGTTCCTCAGTGTGCCTCCCTGACAGGGGCTGGACTTAATAATCCAAAGGGTCCCTTCCAGCTCTGCAGTTCTGAGCTTGTCTCATTTTGCTTCCTGAGTTTCTATGTTGACCTTCATTGAATGTTACTTACAGGAGGTGCATACTGAGAGTTCAAGAATCATTATGTGAGTTCATATCAGATGAGTATCTAGTCTAACATTTTTCCTCTGCAGTGATGGATCACAAACCTGCAGACATTACCCTGAGAGTTCTCCTTAGAAACTAGTACTAAGAAGCACATTGTCTCTCGTATTGGTGGTAGTGTATAACGGTTGGGACTCACAGATGTTGGTAGCTTTGTCCTCCATCTTCCTTTCTAGGAATCTACTCATTAGGACCCATAACTTATTTTGCCTCTCTTCATCAGTAAATCATATGAAGAAGGACCTGAAAAACTCATTCATTGACTGAAATCTTGGTGCTTAGCATGATCAGTTGCACTCCTCCATACGGTCCATTGATTTAAATGGGTCCTCCCTAACTGTGGCTTACTACAGTAAAGCAGGTCACAACTAGATTAGGTCTGTTTGAATTAATGGAACTTATGGACGAGTTGGCTCACCAAATCTCTACTGATTCAGTGAGGTTACTCTACTGTGACTTACTATGCTAGGCAACAGGATTTCAGTCAATGTGTGTTCCCGGAGGGTTGGAGTGATACATGGTTTAGAATGGGTTCTGCGAGAGATATCATGGAGTAGTGTACAGGCTCAGATGCACCCTATAGTTCTCACACATTTTTTTCTACCTGTGTGTGCTGCTGCCCAAATGGCAATCATTCTCAATTTGCTACATGAAGTTCGGGGTTGCTGTTTAAAATTGCGAATAGGGATGCTATCTCTTGGACTGGCCTTACCACCAACCAAGGCAAACAGCCACTGTTTCCTTTTACACTGTTGCAGTAGCTCTGTCAAGCTCAAGGCTTGCTTCACACTAACCACTTTAAAAGTAAGAATGTTGTTGGTAAAACTTTGATTACTACACAAACCATGTGTCATGGCACTTTAATAGTGGCATATGTGAGTGTTATACCGTAGGACTGCTGTCTAGAACATAATGAGCACAGTTTATAAATCAAAACAAAACTTTATTTAAAAAAAACACTAAGGATAGAAAAGGTTCAGTGAAGGAACTGCCAGATGCCTCAGTGGTTTAGGTCTCTGGCTTTGGAGCCAAAGGTTGGGAGTTCGATTCCCCGCTGGGCCTGCTTGACAGGAGCTGGACTAGATGATCCATCAGGTCTCTTTCACCTTTGCAGTTCCAAGATTATTATTATTATTATTATTATTATTACATAGAGGGGAGCAGTATACCATATATCCGGAAAGCATATTCTATTAAGAAGGAATAATACAAGAACAAGATTTTATCTTGTCAGTTTCTAAAGGATATACCCACAAGCCAGCATTTTAAAATTTGTAATTGAAATACTTTTTGTTCTACACACACACATTTCTAACACAGAACTAACAAAACACTTCTAGTTAGTCTCTCATAACACATAGCTTCCTCATACAAATAGATGACATTCAAATATAAAAACCTTACAAGCTGCCATTATTGCTTCTTCTCTCTGCCTCTTTCTAACTCTAATTCTCTAGCACGCTCTGAAACTCCGTATATGCAACAGAATCTCTCTTGCCAGGAATCACACAAGCCAATAGCTCCCAGTTCCATTCATAACATTCTTTCATACTTCTCAACTGCAATAACAGTCAGTGTTGGCATGCACTATATATACAGCTGTCGTTCAAGTCAGACACTCATCATGCAAGCAAGACCAAACATATGTAATGCTGTATTGCCACACATCCTATTTTCCATATTTTTATTTTAATCGCTCTAGTATCAGGAGGCAATTTTGTCATGCTTTGATCTCTCCACAAATGCACCCAATAGTTAGTAATTTTTTTAAAAAATGTCAGCTACTATGGAGCATGAGGGTATTTTTAAGTTTTTTTAAAAAATAAATATTTTAAAAGAAAAAATATTTTGGAATGGGCAAGACTCAGAAGTGGGTGCGGGCTTCCCAGGTCTAGGGACAGGAGTGCCTCTCCCTCAGAGTTGTAGAAATAGTTCATTGCTGGTTCAGGATATTATGACTCAGAATTTGTGATAATGCTTCCTTGAAACCCCCAATTAACCTCTCAGTCAACAAGAAGAATGCCAATCTACTTTTCTCTCAGTTCTGAACATGTGATGCAGGAGTATCACAGCCTTCTCATTTGGCTGATTTCAAGAGGAGGTCCATATAACAATGTTTTCCTAAAGGTCTCTTCCAAGCCTTGTGAAAATATTCCCTTCTTGTTGGATGTGCTTCTTCTTTTGCTTGGACCCTAGACAATTAACTTCTCAATCGAGAAGTTAGAAAACTGTGTAGGAATATTGTAACAATTTTTTAAAAATCATTCTTAGAAGCTTGAAAGAAAACAAGATTAACTTTTATAAGTTTTTTCATCAAAGTTGAATGTGAAGAAAATATGAAACCATTTATTGTCTCCTGAATTAAAAACCCCTTTCAATAATTGAGTGGTAATTCGTAAGTGGCAAAGTATTAAAATAGATAAGTGCTTCCCCACTGTGGTAAAAGTGTTTGCCAAAGTGTAAAGTGCTGAGGTGTTTATTTTAACACTGGGAAACATATTATTGCAGGCATTCCTGGTTTATACTTAGTATCTGTTATGCCAGATGTGCCACGTACAAATTAGACATGGCTCATAAACGGTAACAATCCCAGGTTTCTGTAAGACATAATAAAAGGTTATTCTGTTTTATCACTAACAGTTTTTTCTACCCCCTGTATGAAGGACACACTGTTAAATGTAGTCTGCTAAATGTGTTAAGAGCACTATATAGAATTTCTAAATATTAAGTATCCAATTCATCATAGAGAAGCAAATGATATAGAAAGATAATAAAATGATCTCTGGATACACAATATTAAAATATTTTTGTATGATGATATAATAAATAGGAGTACATCAGAAAAAAAAAATCTTAGAGATTTGTTTGTGCAGTATTTAAGCAACAAATAGATGTTCAAGGAAAAATATGTGACACTGAATGCTAAGTAATAATCCCAGGCTAAGTAATAATTTCAAACTGAACATCTAATGTGAGTTTAAGTCAAATTCTTAATGGCTTTGTGCCTTTATGATGAGGCAATATGTTAGGCAGGTGTTTTAAAGAAGGAGGGTGTTGAACTGGAGTGCAGGCAGGAATAATCCAGCAAAAAATAATCATGAAAACTGATGAGGGATGGCAATCATTTGGGAGGTGGTGGCAGAACAAGCAGGTCTGGTCATGTAAGTATGTTATACTAATTAGTATTCTGTTTGTGCTACACTTGACTATTATTTAACTTCACTAACTGAAATGTTATCTGTGGTGTTAATTGATTGTCAGAGAGTTGAAATGTTTGAATACATATTCCCTGTATTTCTCAAATTACTATATTTTAGAAATAACGTTTTGTTAGAAACTGATAGCTGCTTATATGGAAAAAGATGGTATTGCTCTGGAAGTTTATGTTATCTTCACATGTGTTTTATAAAGTAAACCCCATTCCACATAGGAGAGAGGGCTGTTATTTATTTAGGATTACTGTGGCTCAGTTTCTATCCTTTTACAATGTATTCAGATATTTCTAGGGTTTTTCTTTCATAGGCTCACCAAGGCAGTGAACTGCTATATAAAATCCTGCCTAGTATGTATTTTCAGTGTAAGCATTCTGATAAATATTGGGTACTTCAATTTTAATTTTTTCAGATATCAAGTGTACTTTAAGTACATAGCCATCTCATGCAGCATCACATGTCTGCCTCATTGGCCAAAATCCTATTAGTTACACCCATTGATAGAATACAGATTGCATCTGGTGAGTTGCTTCAAATTAAGTAGCTACTGTAAGTGTTTGCTTTGCACTCTGAGTTGTCTAAGTGCACAATAGTATGTGTCCATGTTAATTTGTAGAAATGTGCCGATAAGATTTACACCAACTGGGTTACACTGGCATAAAAACTCAATAGAATTTTGGCCAATATTTAGTTCGTTAGTTAGTCATTTAGTCTTTCTTTCTTTCTTTCTTTCTTTCTTTCTTTCTTTCTTTCTTTCTTTCTTTCTTTCTTTCTTTCTTTCTTTCTTTCTTTCTTTCTTTCTTTCTTTCTTTCTTTCTTTCTTTCTTTCTGGCTATGATGAGAGGGAAAGCAGATTTCACATCCTCCAATTTCTTCTTTTACACCTCTCAGGTAGTGTAAGGCACTATTCTGGGCAGTTAACAAACATAAAGCAAAAGCAATAATATAAAAATAAAGATAAATAATAATCTAAATGAAGAATAATAGGAACAGAACAAATCAGTAAAAGCAGCATAAAACAAGTACTCAAAGAGCAGTAGCAGTGGTCAGGTGGGCAGGATAAATATGTCAGATTTATTAGAGGATGTCGTTAAAAGCTTATTTAAAAGCATCATTTTAATCAGCCTCTTGAAAATAGAGAGGGCTAGGGCCAGGTGTAGCTCACCCAGAAGTATGGCAACCCATAGGAGCATTACTTATGGAGACATGAAGTGTATAAAGAATTAGAATATGACCCTTCTTAGATGTGGTTTCCCACATCAGTGAATACTGGTATAACTGATGCATACTTTAACAGTTCTCTGCTTTAAGGCAGGTTGGCAACTTAAAGTGTTGACTGTTTAAATGTTAAGTTTTACATCTACTAAATGATTATACAGTGGTGCCTCGCATAACGAGCGCACCATATAACGACGAATCCGCATAGCGATCCCTTTTCCGGGATTGCTAATGCAGAGGCATAGCGTTGGTCCCTATGGAATAAACTCGCTTACCGAAGACGGGTGCCAGGAAGGAGCTGCTGCCGCCGCGAGAGTGATGCGGGGCGCGCTGGCCAGGGAGGAACGCAGGCGGGCAGGCAGGCAGATGGAGGGAGGGAAATGGCGCTCGCTCGCTCACCCGCCACCCCCTGCTTTCCCTCTTCCTCCTCGTCCTTCTCCTGACGCCCCTGGAGAGGAAGGCAGGCGGCGAGGCAGGCAGGCGAAGGGAGGGAAGCCGCGCGCTCGCGCATCCTCCCCCCACTTTCCCTCTTCTCCTACTCTTGCTGCTGCCCCCCCAAGCCTCCCACAGAGTCGGGCAATCAGCTGTTCGGCGGTTCTAAAATGGCCGCTAGACACCCAAAATGGCGGCGCGCAGCGTTTTCGCACCCTCCCCTCATTTACTGAGGGCGCGAAAATGGCTGCCGCTATGGAGGAAACTTCGCTGAACAGTAAGTTTAGGGCCCAATGGGCTTTTACGTTCCGTTTAGCGACGATTTCACATAGCGAGGGTTAATCCGGAACGGAGGTGGCGATTTCGCTCCCTCTGGGCCCGTGGGGGGTGGGGTGGGGGGAGCCTCCCAAGGGTCCGAGTCTGCATTCCAGGACCCTTGGGAGGCTCCCCCCCATGGGGCCAGCAGGGGCGAAATCACCACCTTCTGGGACTCTTTTGAGGTTTGGGAAGCTTCAGAAGAGTCCCTGAAGGTGGTGATTTTGCCCCCTCTGGCCCCCGGGGGGGCTGGGTGAACCTCCAAAGGGTCCTAGGGTGTGTTCCATAAGACAGACCTCTCCATAAGGCTCACCAAATTTTTAGGAGAAGAAAACAGATTTTTTTTTTCTGTTTTCTTCTAAAAATTTGGTGCGTCTTATGGAGAGGTGCTTCTTATGGAGCGAAAAATATGATAAATCTTTCAGCATATTACCTTTGCCAAAAGCAAATATAATTACTCTTTCTGCCTAGGCTGCACTAAATCCATAATAATCCTCCAGCATTTTAATGGTGCCAGTTTAAAGGAAGAGTTCACACTTACAAAACATAAGTTGAAGCTCCACCAAATGTTTGGTAGCTCCTTGTTTGTTATTTGTTGTTTCTTTTTCTTTTCCGTTTTTGTTTTTGACTTGGAGGGCAACATTAAGGGACCATTCTTTATGTGAAAATGACATAGATACTTTCGGCACTTTTAAAAACTGATTTTATTTTGTATGAATCTTCATGGACTTTACTCTGCATCTTCATATACATCTGCAGAAGTGGGCTACATGAAAGTGCATACCAGTATAATACTTGTTAATCTTCAAGGTGCCACAAGAGTCCTTCTTAACATTTGTTGCAACAGGCTAACACAACTCTCTGTGGCGTTCTAGTCATTACCACTGTGTTGAAAGCAACTGTAACATTCCTAATTCATAACTGGAAAAGCAGGCAACTGTCATCTCATCTCCACTTTTTTGCCTCCAAGTTGTAGAATTGTTTCAAGACTGGTTGTTGAAATGACCAGAAACACTGCTGGTATAACTTTGACTCAGTTAAAGCCTGTCTGCATACTGCCCTTTTAAAAGTAAGAATGTTTTCAGTGAAACACAGCATTTTTAAATTTGGTGACACTACATAAACCATGAGTGATAGCACTGATCCACAGTATAAGTGGGTGTGATATCTTATGATAATAAGCAGGGTTTATGAACCAAAAAGAGTTTTACTTTTAAAAAGCACAAAGGAATAAAAAGGTTCAGTGAACCTAAAAACAAAATATGGTATAAGTGCAATGTGTGAAGTATTTTAAATTTGTCTTTGTTCCATTTGTGTGCTACCTTTCTCCCAGAACTGGGACTTAGGATGGTTTACACTACAGGACAATTTGAAACCATGATATATTAAAATACAATAAAATGAAAAACATTAAAATAGAATTAATTTGAGTTTTTTAAATTACTGTAAAATGCTTTAAAAACATTTAAAATTTGACTAAAACAATGAAAACTAACCCATCTGCAGGGAAGCTGGAGGCTCTTAATTGTCAAAGTTCTCTGTTGTTGTTTTAAAATATTTACCTGCTGCCAGAAGGTTAACAGGGAGGGGGCAAATCTACCAGCTCTTGGCAAGAAGTTCCAGAGTCTGGGCACAGCCACCAAGAAGGCCTTCTCTCAAGTCCCCACCAGGTAGTCCTCTGAAGTTGATAGAACAGTGAGAAGAACAACCTGGGCTGCCTGTACTTTTCTTTTTTATAATTTAAACACTTCCTTTTCCATGTTTGTTGATATTAATTTGTTTTAAGAAAACTAGTAACCAAACCACATTTTTATTTAAAACCATTTCTCAAAACAGGTAGCATTCATTCTAACTCTGAGACTCTAAACTCACAGTACTGACTGACTGGTTTGATTAACTCTCTCACACACGCACATGCATTTATATGCAAAACAGAATCTCTCTAGCCAGGAACCACACAGACCAATCAGCTCGCAGCTGTGGTATAAAACATAAAGCTGTTATAACTTTCATACAACTGCCAATCAGTCCCAGTTGCTTATCAAGCAAGCAAATACAAAACTGTATATAAATATATAAATAGTTCCAAATTGCCACATTTGTCCTCTTCAAATATTTGAAAGACTTTCATGTGGAAGATGCAAGAATCTTGTTTTAAGTAGCCGCAGAGGGTGGGACCTGAAATAATTGATTCAAAGTAGGGGAAAGGAGATTTCATCTAAACATTAGGAATAATGTTTTCATAGTAAGAGCTGTTTGACACCTCTAAGAGATTATGGTCTTTCCTTCATTGGAGATTTTAAATGAAAGATTAGATGACCACTTGACGGGGATACTTTAGCTGTGGAATTTTTGTTTTGATGACCCTTGGTGTCCCTTCCAGCTGTACAGTTCTGTGATACTAATATTGGACTCTGCCTGCAGAGGTCCATTGGGTTCACATTTTGATTGTCATATAGACATAAGACATAAGAAATTTATTTGTCATTGCGCTCACAAGTGGGTGCAACGAAATGAGGTGCTCTTCCCCAAGGTAAAACTGGACAACACTACAAAAAAAAGTTAAAATATACACAACTATAGTGGACTTTGGGACTAGAATTACTAATTTTCAGTTTTACTTACCTACACATTGTCTGAAATCCTATTGTTTCACATAGTGAGTCCCAACTAGAGTAGGACTATTGAATCTGTGGGGATTTGTTGAGTCAACTTTTCTGTAAACGCCATTAATCCAGTGGGCCCATTCTTGCATCAACAAGATTTCAGCCACAGTTTGTTTGTGGCGTACAACAGTATGATTCTATCCCAAGTATATCAACCAGACTTCTTTATAGGGAAGGGGAGGCACAGAAATACAATCTTAAGTATCTCAAGTCTGTAAAATTAGCATCCTCTCATTTCTTATGGTTATGCAGCTGTTATTTAAATACTCTTAAAATAATATATTAGGTGTATTTCAAGCTACGCAGCTAGTGTTTTAGCTTTATTAAATGATCTCTAAAATTCTGTTCCAATATTTCTAATTTGGATTTTTAAAGCAAAATTAAGTGCACAATTAACTTACCTATGAACTTGTCCTTCCACTTTTTGTCGCATCTTACTGAACTTGGCAATATGCTGTTGGTATGGAGGAAGTAGAGGAAGGAAGACGGGTTATTCGCTGAAGCATAGGTCATGTGATCAGTGTTTGTTGTTATATGAAATCACAATCAAAATTGACAAAGTTGGTATTAAATACTATTTCCTGTGTTAAAAGATAGGCAGCATAAGCTGAAAAGAAACCTGCAGCAGTAGATTTGCGCACAGACCTTAATTGGTCCAATTGACCTTCAGCGCTGTATTTACAATTGCCTTCAAATTGTAAGCAGATGTTTTGAAAAACCTTCATTAATACGTTGGTAACATCTGTTTCAGCCACAATATTGCCCACCAAAGCAGTTGCAATTATATGAGTATTCCATGCATCTCTTCTTACTAGTTCTGGACATTTATGCACCTTTTCAGGATTTTGAAAGAGTCTTGCTAGCTATTTTTAAAATTTACATGTCACTTAATTTCTGTCAGTACAGAGGAGTGGTGGTGGGTGATGAGTTCTATCATTTTTATTTTATAACCCTTTAAAAAGCTGCCGTTTTCTTCTAGTACTACCCTGGCATATGGTAGAATAAAGCAGACAAAGTAAATATAATGTCCTTGTGGAAAGGAGATTATTCTTCAATTACAATGTTTCAGAAACTGTTTTAAAACTTCATTAAAGAACACATTTTAGCCAAACTTTCAAGTAAAACATGTTTAGGTCTGGATGTAACCTAAAATGTGTCTAAAATCCATCACTTCTTTAGTTGAATTGTGGTCTGGGCTGCAAGAACTTGCTCTTTACAATAGAAAAAGGTTGTCTTGTCCAATGCCCAGGTAAAGAAAGAAGGTAAGGCAACTGTAGCATTCACCCTTTGTTAGGTAATAAGTCATGTATTATTCATGTTCTATGCTAATATGGTTGAGAGGCAGAGCCGAGAGAGATGTTGAAAAGGCAGCGCCTGAGAGGAGGAGAGTCAGAGAGTCAGAGTCAGGGTTTGGAATCAGAGAGAGAAAGATAGTTTGGGGATCTGAGGAGTGATTAGTCTGAGGAGTGATTAGTAACCTGTGATATTTAATATAGAAGATTAATATTGATGCTTGATGAAACTGAAAATATGGTTATGAATTATCCTAGAAACCATCTGTAATCAATAAACCTGTTTTTATTAATCAGTACAATGGACCATCTTTCCTAAGTAAATTACATTGATAAGGAGATCAGCTGGTGGTGTGTGTCAAGAGGTATTTTAGTTTGCCTTTTTAAGCTCTGAGTTTGGGGGAGACAAGCAGGGGCCACGAGGGACAAACTTCACAATTGGTGTCTAGCAATGGGATACGAAACAATCCAGCAACGCCAGAGTTTAAAAGTGCATTTTTTTGAGTTGTGGGTACCTTTTTAGTTAGAGGTCTGTGGTGAAGAAGTGGGTGAGCTGCTAGAGCTTTTGTGGAAAAGCTTAGTGTAGTGTTTACCCCTTGTTATGCAATATAAGTCATGTATTATTCATATCTGTGCTAATGTGGTAGAGAGGCGGAGCTGAGAGAGAGGTTAAGAGACGGAGCCTGAGAGTCAAGAGTCAGTCAGGAGAGAGAGAGTCAGAGGCAGAGGCAGAAGAGATAGAGATTGAGTGAGAAACTGGTTAAGATAAATACACTAGATAAAGTGGTAATTAATTATATGGCAAGAAGAAAGTATATATAGAGAGACCTGTGAATGATTTGCTTGTGTACAATGAACATCTGAAGAACATCTGTGATTATTATTTACTTTGCTACACTTCAGTAAATAAGTTCTGTTTGCATTTACCAGACAAGTGTTTGGACAAACGTTTTTTATATTGTGGATAGAGGTAATCCACTGGTGGCAGTGAGGGAAACAAAGACTGGAACCTTTGTGAGTGCACAAAAAGTAGGTGCTTCATAGAGGTGAACGTCACACTTAGTGGGGGGGGGCTGCTGATCCCAGATCTGGGGGAACTAAAGCTAGGGAATGACTCTGAAGGAAAATTTCCTTTTATTTACCTTAGAATTTGAGAGACCTTGTGGCTAGCTTAAAATCCAAGGCTCTGAGAGTTAAGGGAGTGCTTAAGGATAAACGTGGAAGCCAGAGGTCAGAGCAGATCTCAGGGGATAGAAAAATGAAAGCAGAGGCTTGAGATATAAAATTATTTCAGTGACTGGAATTAAAAGTAGAAAGACAAGTCATTTTTAAAATCAGTACAAACACTCAAGACTAACTCAGACATAAACATGCCCCCCAAATGTAGCCAAAAGGGGAGTCGTGAGGCAGAGAGTTTACCTCAAGAAATGGAGGGAAATGGAGACCCTTTAACTCCAATGGAACAGGAGGAAATAGATGAGAGTGCCTCAGAGAGACAAAAGGAATTAAGCTCCCAAGAGTTTGAAAAATGGAAACTGGAACAGGAGTATAGACTCAGAGAGAAAGCTCAGGAACTATAGCTGAAGGAATTAGAGATGAGAGAAAAAGCTGAGCAAGAGGCCAGACAAATAGAATTAAAACAAAGTGAAATGGAATTAAGACAGAGAAATGGACTTTCAAATACAGATGAAACAATTAGAATTGGCTTCCCAAAATAATAACAATACAGTGGTGCCTCACATTACGACGTTAATTTGTTCCAGCGAAATCGCTGTAGAACGAAAACGTCGTAATGCAAAAATAAAAAGCCCATTGAAACGCATTGAAACTCCTTCAATGCGTTCCAATGGGCTGGAAACTCACTGTCTAGCGAAGATCCTCTGTAGGGCGGCCATTTTCGGTGGCTGTCTTGCGAGGAATCCGTCCCAGAAAACAGCAGGGAGCCATTTTATTTACCCGGACGCCATTTTGAAACCGCCGATCAGCTGTTTTAAAATCGTCGTTTTGTGAAGAATCTGTTTCCAAAGCAGGGAACCGATCATTGCAAAGCGAAAAAACCCATTCAGACCATCGTTTTGTGATCGCCATTCCGATCGCAAAAAGATCGTTGTAATGCGGTTTCGTCATAATGTGGGACAATCGTAAAGTGAGGCACCACTTTAGTAACAGCTCTAGTGAGGAAAATCTCTCAAAAATTGATGTAAAGAAATTTCCCCAAGGTGACTGCCCAGAATCTTTCCTCATTTCATTTGAGAGGGTGTCTTGGGACTTTGATATTAGGGATGATGAAAGGATGATAGTGCTAAGATCACAAATAAGTGGAGATTTAGTGGAACTGTAGTCTCAGATGCCTTTGGAGCAGGCTAGAGATTTTGAAGTATATAGAAAGATGGTATATTCAAGATTTGGCATAAATGAAGAACACCTTAGAAGAAAATTCTGTGCCCTTACTGAAAAGCCTGAGGAATCTTATTTTCTGTTAAGAACTAAATTAGTCCAATGTTTGGACAAATGGATGGAACGTGAAAATGTCACTTTTCTAGAGCAGATGAAAAATGTGATTGGGTTAGAACAATTTTATTATATTTTTCCTGGGGAATTGCTTTATTTAAAGACAAAAATCTTAACAATCTGTTAGAAGCAGGTGAAACAGCTGATTACATTGGGGAGATTCTAAACCACAAGTTCTCTGAGGTAAAATTTAACAAGCAGAGCTGGGACAACAGTAAAAAACCCTTCAATAAAAATTACCTCAGAAACACATCAGAGAAAGAAGGCCAGAGTAGGGCCTCACCTGAGTTGTCAGGGCCTAGTCCTCTGAAGAGAGGGAACCCTGAGGAAAAGTTTAATAGATTGCCTCAGAGTAAGAGAAGGACTTTTAAACAGTGTTATAACTTTGGGGAGTTTGGTCATATTCAGTCAAATTGTACTAAAATCAAGAATAAAAATGGAAAGATGACAGTCAGACCAAAAAGTTTTACTGCTTGAAAACTGTGTTAGCCACTGAGGGAAGTTGTAACAATGGTTCTGTCTCCGTGGCAACTGGCACAACAGAAAATTCTGATCTGTCACTAGCCAAGGTCGTCCAGTGTTTTCTTGTAAAGACAGAAATTATTTTAGTACAGAACCCTGGTGAGAGGATTCTTATTAATGAGACATCTTATGTGGGAGTGGTTGATACCTGCTCCAACAGAACCCTTTGACATCCTGATGTGGTTCCTAGAGAACAAATACTTCCAAACTAAACTGTTACAATCAAGGGAATAAGTTCTACTCCAATGACTTTACCTATAGCTAAAGTGAAAATAAACTGTAGAGATTGGGTCAGATATGGTTGAGAGGAGGAGCCGAGAGAGATGTTAAAAAGGCAGCGCCTGAGAGGAGGAGAGTCAGAGTCAGAGTCAGGGTTTGGAATTAGAGAGAGAGAGAGATAGTTTGGGGATCTGAGGATTAATTAGTCTGAGGAGTAAGGGGCCATGAGGGGCAAACATCACAGCAACGGAGATAGCCATCCAATTTATTTAAAAGTCTGCCTTCTGTTATATTATATTTTCCCAAATTCTTCTTTTGTATTTAAACTCTTTAGCTCAGGACTTGGCCTCTGGAGCCATACTGTACAATGTAAGATTGTCCCTTCCTCTACATGCCAGCCCTAACTCTTTTTGGTATTTCAACATAACTATCATATCACTTCTCGGTCTTTTCAAGATGGAACATGCCGATGTCCCTCAACTGTTCTTCGTATGATCTGCTTTTCAAATCCTTTACCATCTAGATTACTCCCCTCTGAATGTGTCCCAGCTTGTCAATACCCTTCTTAAAAGGAAGTGGCCATAACTGAACAAAGCATTCCAGGTGAGTCTGACTAAAACAGAAAGAATTTTCTTTTACTGTTGTTGTTCCGGCCACTGTATTTCTGTTGACACAGCCTGGAATCATGTTGGTTATTTTTGCTGCCAAATCTCAGTGTTGAAAATCTCCCACTTTTGTGTCAGCTTCTGAGAAGACTTCTGTAGGATTATGCTGAATGTGTGAAAAATCACATCAAAACCGATAGAATCCACCCACCTCAAATTAAAAAGCAACTGCAATCTATTGTTTAGGATCCCTACTGACAAAAGAGCTCAGTCTGGTCTGTGTCACAGACACCAACTCCATGGGCAATCCATTTATCCTCTAAAATAAACCCGACTCTTAAACTAATAGATATGCAACTAATTTATTTTTAGCTGCTTTGCATTTTATGCAAAACTCAAAAATGGATAATCGATTAGCAGAAAAACATAGGAAGCGGCCTTGTGCTAACCCAGTATAGTCTCCACTGATTTGCAGTGACTCCTGGTTTTCATGTAGAATTAATTCATTCCTACCTGGAAATGTCAGGAATTGAACCTGAGGGCTCCTGAGATCAAATGGTGTGCTCTCCTGTTGAGTTTTGTTCTGATAGCAGATTTCCATACTCTTCCTTCCAAAGACACCTTCTCAGTTTTGGTGCTTATTTTTGCCATTGTTAGTTGGAGGTGACTTGACCAGACATAACAACAAAAGTGAGCTGGTTAAGTTAACGCTACAGATCAATGCAGGTTTACTTCATGGAAAGGAATATGCAGAGATGGGTAGCAAAGAGAAAATAGAACACTTCAATACCTTTTTTTAATTTCAGTTTTTTCCCTAAAGGAAAACAGTGCTTGAACTGGTGGAAAAAGAACAAATAATACAAAGAGGGTAGCTGCATCCTAAGTTAAATAAAGAGATGGTACAGAAACAGCCAGCTACCTTAATTAAATACAAGTTTCCAGGACAGAGGATCTTCATTAAAGTGTACTAAAGGAACTTGCAGATGCAGTCCCAGAATTTCTGTGTACGCTTGGAGAATCCCCACTCAGCCGTGGAAATTCACGAGGGGTGTGTGATATTTTTCATACCTCCAAAATACTCCTAGGGGCTCAATAAGTTGGAATCAA